ATTCCTAGAGTTCTAGCACGAACCTCTANGACTATAACGCATAACAATAAACAAGCAACGTGTGCCCTACTCATCTAGCACATGACAAACATCACCAAGACTCACCTTATTCGGAACGGTTAAGGCTTAGATTCGGACTTAGGCTCTGGACCGGATCTGATTCTTTGGTTCCACAAACTACTTCCTTCACGAAAACGGACAGAACTTAGACTAGACTTTTGGCTATTCCTGCTCCTACTCGATGGCTCAAGACAACGGCCTAGCTGGATCACGATCACGGACAAAGATTCGGATTTTCTAGACTGATTTTGTCAGAGGTTTGGAACGGTTTTTATGCATAAAATGGGAGCTACTTAGGTCCTATTTATAGGGAATTTTCGTCCAGCAGCTTGCGGGATTTGTCGTGCTTGTTGATGACTCGTCGCGTACGGTTGCAACACCTCGTACTTACGGGTTTGTCGTGCTTCCAACTTGTCGTGATTGTGGATTTGTCATGCTTGCGGATTTGTCGTGCTTCCATTGACTCATCACACAAGATCGCGACACCACATGCTTACGGTTTTGTCGTGCTTCTGACTTGTCGTGCTTGCGGATTTGTCGTGCTTGTGGATTTGTCGTGCTTCCAATGACTCGTCACACAAGATCGCGACACCTCGTGCGTACGAGATTTGTCGTGCTTCTGATTTGTCGTGCTTGCGGATTTGTCGTGCTTGCGGATTTGTCGTGCTTGTGGATTTGTCGTGCTTCCAATGACTCGTCACACAAGATCGCGACACCTCGTGCTTACGAGATTTGTCGTGCTTCATTGATCCCAAACATGTCAATCCCGAGCAGCTGTGTCGTGCTTCCGCAAACTTTTATATTTTTGTAAAAATATCAAATTTGAAAAATCACGCCACCTCGTGCTTCGCGCCACCTCGTGCTTAAAATCATGTCATGCTTGACGGATTTTTTTTCTTCCGTCAACTAGGTCTTGGCTCGATCATTTCCCTTAACTGTTTTGATCTCAAGGCAGGGTCATTACATTCTACCCTCCTTAAAAATAATTCGTCCCGAATTCTTAAGGTGGAATACTTCCTCCACTTATTCCCCCGTCGTGCATTTGGAAAGGTTGGTTTATGAAAGTTTTTCCTAAGTAACTAAGACATCTATCAATAATTATCGGTTTCCAGGATTGGGTCTCAACCTCTAGCTAGACTCAATTAATCTCATCTACCTTATACTCTATAATTCCACCACACACTATAACTCATAAATGCATGCATATG